CCACCAACTAGGCTACAAGAGAGCATCGCTTCATCTGACCTTGCTGGATTTCTTAAAATGAAATATTTTTCTCCTGGATTTGTTCCCAAAACCCAGCTGCTGGACTCTCCATCCCAACCCACCCCCAGCCCCACCTCCACCCCCCAACCCCCACCTCCTTTTCTCTTGCCCCCCTCAACCCCTAGGCAAATGTTGCAAACAGTTTAGAAACTTTCTTTGGAGCTTTAATAAGGTTTAAAACTTTACTTTACCCCAACCCGTAAAAGTTTTATGCATTAGTTTTGTGCAGGATGCCTTTGGGGTTTGCACTCTGCCAGTACTCTAAATGGCTGTCTTTATTACTGTCTCTGCACTCCCATCAGTGTTACTTGAAACAAAGCTTCACTGTATGTAGTAAGCATTAAGAGTAATGATGTACTTTCTGGAATGTAAATCTTAAGTTTTCTTCATTGCTTTCTCTAAACCTGTTCTGTACCTTGTGGAGGGCTGAACTAATTCCTTCTAGAGGATTGTTTCTAACATTGACTTGACGCATCCTTTTCTCAGCTGCTGCCGAAAACTTCATCCCTGCCTGTGATTATTGATTTGATTTGGCTATTCCACTGCGCTGCTGGTTGGACTCCAGCGATCTCCCATCTGCAAACTTCAGCATATCCATTGCTGCCTATGCCCTATTTCATACCAAGCCCTGATCACCTATCACACCTGTACTTCCCAGCCAGTACAGGCCCCCTTGGTAAGCAATACCTGGATTTTATTGATTTATAATCCTTCTCCATAACATTCCTTTTCCCTATCTGTAAAATCTCTAAATGCACAAGCCTCCAAGATGCTTCACATGGAACGGTTTATCTGCCACCTCCGTCTCCGCACTCACTTCTTTGGGTAGGAATCCTTCCCCTGTACCACTCATCTCTTCAACCGCCTACAGTATTCATCCCCCACTTGGACCCTTTCCCCTAACCTCTTACCCGCCCTCGATCTCTTCATTGAAAACTGTCGGCGTGACATCGGCTGTCTCAATTTCTCTGCTCCTCTCATCCACTCTAACCTGTCCCTTTCTAAAATTGCTGCACTTTGCTCACTTGGGTCCAACCCTGAGTTTGTTATCAACAAAGGTGGTGCTGTTGTAGTCTGGCACTCTGATCTTTACCTTGTGGAGGCTCAACGCATACATCTTCCTACCGCCTTCTGGACCATGACCCCATATCCAAACATCAAGCCATTGTTGCCAGGACTGTCATCAACCTCGTTACCTCTGGAGATTTTTTCCCAGCTGCCTCCAACCTTATAGTCTCCCAACTCCAGATAGCCCGCTTCTACCTCCTTCCCAAAATCTACAAACCAGACTGCCCCAGTAAGCCATCGTATCAGCCTGTTCCTGCACCACTGAGCTCATTTCCTCCTACCGTGACTCAATCCTCTCTGCACTTGTCCAGACCCTGCCCACCTATATCTGTGATTACTCTTGATGCCCTCTGCCATATTGACAATTTCCAGTTCTCTGGTCCTAACTGCCTCCTCTTCACCATGGATGTCCACTCTCTCTATACGCCATTCCCCACCAGGATCATCTGAGTGCTCTCAGCTTCTTCCTGCAAGGACTCCATCCCATTCTCCCAGTTCCTTCACCTACGTCACATCTGTTGGATGATGCCACCTTCCAAAACAATGCTGCTGACATGGCTTGCTTCTTCCATGGCTGTGGTTTCCCACCTACAGGTCCCTCAACTGCATCTGACCTATCACCCATGTTTCCGCTCTTGCCTAGTACAATAGTGTGATCGGATCCCCCTTGTTCTCACTTTTCATCCCACCAGCTTCCGCATTTAAAGGATCATTCTCCACCATTTCAGACAACTCCAGCAGAATGCCACCACCAAACACATCTTCCCCTCACTCCTCCTGTCTGCATTTCACAGGGACCATTCCCTCTGAGACACCCTAGTCCATTCGTCGACCACTAACACCACACCCCCTTCCCACGGTGCCTTCCCACGTAACCATAGAAGGTGCAACACCTGCCCCTTCACCTCCTCCCTGCTCACCATCCAACGTCCTAAACAATCTTTCCAGGTAAAGCAGCATTTCACCTGTATCTCCTCCAAACTTGTGTACTGTATTCGCTGCACCCAGTATGGCCTACTCTACATTGGAGAAACCAGACTCAGACTGGGGGTGACCAGAACACCTCTACGCTGTGCGCAAGCATGACCCTGACCTTCCTGCAGCCTGTCATTTTAACACAGTGTCCTGCTCGTGTGCCCATGTGTCTGTCCTCAGAATGCTCCAGTGCTCCAGTGAATCACAGCACAAACTGGAGAAATAACATCTCATCTTCATACCAGGCACTTTTCAGCCTTCTGGACATAATATCGAGTTCAACATCCTCAAATTGTGAACCCACTCCCATTCCTTCCGTTTCTTTTAGCTTTACTTGTTACACTCTCCCCACCCCAGTGGGACTGTCTGTTCTTTCCAGTCTGGCAGTTAGACACACCATTGTTGTGCCATTCTCACATTCCGATCACTTAATCTATCTGAATTATCAACATCCGTTCTCACCTAGCACTCCACCTTCTCGCTCCCCAACCCCCCCCCCCACACCCCACAATTGCATAAATGCTGCCCCCTCTACACCTCACATCAGCTCTGATGAAGAGTCATCTAGACTCAAAATGTTAGCTCAGTTTCTGTCCATGGATGCTGCCTAACCCACTGTGATTGCCAGCATTTTTTGTTTCCAAGATACCTAAACCCCTCTTGAGCAATTCCAACTGATGGCCATGCCTTAAGTTGCCAGAGTCCTAAAGGTTGGAGTTACCTTAACTTATATTTCTCAGGGGAGGGGTCGTATGGAACAGTGATAATGACCCCACCTCTAAGCCAGGAGGCACAGGCTCAAGTTCCAAAGCTCCAGTGTGATGAGAGAATATCTACACACTTTCTCTCTCTGTTTGTTCTATCCCTTAAGAGGCTTAAAACTCTTTGACCAACCTTTCAATTTTCTATACTCATTTGTCCTTATGTGGCTTGGTATTAAATTTTGCTTTATAATTTTCTTATGAAGCACAGTGGGAAATATTATAACGTCAAAGACACTGTGGAAATACAAGTTAACACAGTGTGGAGCTGGAGGAACACAGCAGGCCAGGCAGCATCAGAGGAGCAGGAAAGTTGATGTTTCGGGTCGGGACCCTTCTTCAGACCTGACCCAAAACGTCAGCTTTCCTGTTCCTCTGATGCTGCCTGGCCTGTTGTGTTCCTCCAGCTCCACACTGTTATCTCTGACTCCAGCATCGGCAGTTCTTACTATCCCTGGAAATACAAGTTGTTGTAATTGTTGACTGGGAATATTGGAATGCAAAGATTCCTTCCCATCAGTGCAGCCCCAAATATGTTGAAATTATTTTCTTTGATGTGCACGAAAACCTTTCAAACTGTACTGTCCACAATTTACTGTCCACTGCTCTCTAACTAACTAATTAGTGTTGAGTTGGATTGCTCTATTTACATACCTTTTATTAAGAATACACAGCAGTACTAGTCAGGTCTTGCAATCAGGTCTGCATACCTCAATGGATCCCTTAGGACAAAAAGGCTATATTTTCAAACCTACGTTATTTTTACGAACATAATTGACCTCCCTTCATGAAGTTTGAACCCTGGGCCAAACCCAGAGTACAAGCAATAAGATTGATTCATTTTATTTACACATTTCCAACACCAGAGGGAGTCTTGTACTCCATTTCTCAAGGATTATGTGAGGGAACTTCAGTTGTTCACAGCTTTTTGCTATAATTTACTTTTCATCTCTGTATTAAATGAAACATTTTCTCTTTGGTTTCCCGAATGCAATTGCAAAACAACAGGGTTGTTCTCTCAAATCTACCGATAATGATGTATAATAGGATTCCAGCATAGTTACAAGAATGTTTTGTATTTGACTGAAATGTCTGCCCCCACAATATTAGCAAAGACCATTGCAAAGTTTGTTTTAATTTTTTTCAGTCTAATTGCAGTACATAGGCATTTTTTAATTGGATTGAGTTCAGACGCCTATATCAAGTTCATTTGAATAGTATGGTATCTCACTATTACCTACGTTGAACAAACTACATTTGTTATTTGCCTGCCTATCCCCAAAATGCCAACACTTTGAAGCTGGATATGACATTCTTCCTCAAAAATTATTCCCATATCCAAATCATTTATGTGCATGAAGAATAAGGTATGTTCTAATTTGGATGCTATCAATGTTATTAATTACTTCTTGCTAACGAGAAACTGCTAAGTGCGCCGACGCCCATGCTTTCTATCCTACAGTTAACCCTTTATCCATGTCGTCATGTCACCTTTGTTACCTTTGGCCTAGCTGTGAGTAGGAAAGTCCACACATACTACATACACTTCGTGCTCATTGTCTATTTCAATTAAACTAGCCAGGAATGGCCAGTATGTTTTATAAACTGCTCTTGTATGGACTAAATGCAAAAATATAAACTTACTACAGAATAAGTATTGTATTTCCAAATAGAGACTTTTACATTTAGAGTCAAATGGACATATTTATATGTCTACGTAGGTATTATTACAGAAGTCCTGTTTGCCATTTGTATTGCTGTAGGTTTGTACTGATAGTATCAGACATTCAAGCAAGATGCCACCAGGCATTAACTGAATGGAGGATCCTAACTATTGATGGCAACTATGACAACTTACCCCGGTGCAAGTGCTCATTCAACAGACGGAAACAAACTAATGACTGGTCAAATATGGCATTTTATCTATTGTCATCAAGGTTGGTGGAGATTTAAAATAAACTGTGTTTATTTAGTGGCTCTTGAAGTTATTTGAATTCTGTGTATGGGATTAATTACTTGCAATTATTTCCTATCTCTTAGTCAATGCATAATTTTTCTTGGTAATTCCTTTTTAGTTTTCTTCAGTTTTCTCCCACTCACCTTTTTAAATATATTCACTGCCTGACTGAGGTATGGTTCCTTGGATGGCACTTGGGTGCAATTACCTCACACAGTTGTCCATTGTTAATGTATGAGCCCTGATGTTGGGTGTCAGCAAACTGTTCAATTGTGAAGAACACAGATGAGCCAAATCTTATTCTCATTGGTTCAGACTTCTAGTTGACCTGCTGATAACAATCAGGAACAAGTTGCCTGGTCAATCTTTTCTTTTCTTTAGTCCAACAGCTTCAATATAAAGATAAAAGAAATGAAAAGACAAATCATATTATTTCCTCTAAAACCAGGAAGTGATGTCTTTGAAAGATAGGTTCCAGCAATGCATAGCTTTAATAGAAAGCCATAAAGCCAAACATTTGCTCCATGCATACTTAACTGGCCTGTGATTAACTTTTGCTACTTTTTAAACTGTAGATTTAATCCTTCATAGACCATAACAACATTCAAACATCAAGGCAAAACTCATTTACTAAAGGTTGGTTAGTTTGATCTTGAGTGAAACCTTTAGCATGCCGTTAAAATATCAAGAGAATAAGAGCTCCAGTAGACCTTTACTGGGATTTACTATTGCATTTTTCCATACTGTGTGCCTGACTTGAAGTTTTGTCAATGGAAATGGAAAATTCACACTGGTGTTATATAATACCAGACTTTGTTCTGTTTGCTCAGTGTTATAGAAGAGAGAAATAGAAATAGAAATAGAAATAGAAATAGAAGAGGAGCAGGAAACCAAAAAAACACTATCAAGGTATTGGTTAGTTCCGAATGACATTTTATCAAAGTTTCAGAATTTTAATCTAGACCTGAATTTGTTTACAGCCTGAAATTGTGACACAAGCTTTGTTTGGAAGCCACATCCCAGTAAAAGAACTATATTTAATTGCAGGATGTACAACATGTTTTGATGCGTTTTCTCTTGCGGCTATGAATGGAAACCTTTTGTACATTGAACAGAGAATCTGAATCTTACTATAAGGAAGTTTGAAACATAGGTCCCTGGAAATCGATTTTCTTCCTAACTGTTCCCAAATGTGTAAAATTGTCAACAAGCCAAGCATTCAAGTAGTATGAAAATTGCTTTTGTCCAGAAACATCTACTGAAGACTTTCCAGCTCTTGGTGTTTGCTCACTGCCAAATCAAATGCTAAATACACTATTGACCGCCAGCATAGTATGCAAAACAACGTAAGCAGTTAAATAATGGCTACTCAACTCAGTTAAGTTTCTATTAATGTAAGGTCATACACTGCAAGTTCTGAAACAACATTAGTTTAATACAAAAGTGAACAATCTGTGGCAGATAATCTGTAACTGTAGAATACCAACTTCTCTGCTTAGTAATTATTTCAGTGCTTACGGTGAAATGATACGTGGGGACTAACCAGCAATCACCAAATTACTGCCCCAGCCTCACCATTTGTATTGGGCTTAAAATCGGAAGTTTTAAGGCTATTGGGTGTGTTTTACTGTCTGCGCTGCCATCCTGCTACTTGATGAACATCTTAATGTATCAAGTCATTGAAACAAAAAAAAAATCACCAGTGAAAATACAAAATTATCACCTAAATAATTCAAGACTCAATCAATCAATCAACAGCATGACAAAGTTCTGAAAGGACAGTTTGATTAGGTATTCTTTACATTCCATCAAGATAACTGTTAATATTTTATTTATGATTCAAAGTTATGTTAATTCATATGCCAAATTGCAAGAAATAATATTGCCATTATTTACATCTGTCTATTACTTACACAAATTTCTTGATAACAGCTTTATTACAACTAAGACACAATAGATGGATTCTGTTGTATAAGATAATGGCTCTGAAGGAGTTCATGCTACATTGATTTCCACCAATTCAGTTGATGTCAGAGACATTGTGGGTGGATTTCAGCACTAGTCTTGATAGGGAGCAAATGTACTCTGCATGGCTTCTGAGAGTCCTAGTAATTATTCCTGACTAATAACGCAGTTGTGCTATTGCTATTATGCAACAAACGATCTTGTGTAACTAAGACTAATGTCTCTTCTGTAAAAACTCAATGGTGATGTATCCTCTACTACTAATAGTTAGACATGATCTATACTTTGACAAGGGTGTGTCTAATGTTCACGTAAAGGAGGATTTCTGGCAGGGAACTACATCAAACAATCCTTACACTGAACCACTTACTTGAGAGATGGCAGATTCCAGGAGGTATCTGTGTTACAATTAACATATTCCCACAAAATGACAGGTTCAGATTCAGTGGGCCTAGAGGCAGGATGTGATTTAATTCATAACTTAATGCCAACGTTACCTGAATTAAGTCCTGGGCAGGAAAGCCTAAGTTCCACCTTCCTGCCGTGTCACCAAGTGAGGTTGTCACAGGCCTCATCCATCTGGGCTGCTATTATTTCAGCTCCAGGTAGGATGAGAAAAAAAGATTTGGCCCTACTCAACTCATTAATGAATGACAGCAGGCTGTCGGTTTGGGCTAGGGAGCATGCGAGGAGGGTTTCGTGATCTGCAATGAATCTATGAACGATCAAGTCTTTGGACTGGGGGTGGGGGCGGGGGGGGGGGACAGCACGTGACAACTATAAGCTATCTTGCTTCCATCACTTCTGAACCCTGTTTTCCATAACCAGCACACCACAAAATTTCCACAAACCTTATGCAACCCTTTGTCCCAGGAATCTCAGACTATTATCCCACTTAAAGCCATAGTTTCCATGTGCTGCTGCCAAATTATGGAGTGCTGGCTTCTCATTGGCTGCCAGCTCATTACAGCTGGGACTTCATGCTCGTGGGTCATTAATTCCAGTGGAAAACATGTAAATGACCAATCAGATATTTGATTGCTGGAAGATCCTGTGATTTGTCTCATCTTCGTAGCCTGATGGTTTTTCTCCCTGGAAACTCTCCCAATTTTGAACTTAATCTGAAAATACTAAGATCCCAACAAAAGACAACATCAGGGTGAGACAATTAGATCACTTAACCAGAAGACAATTCAAGGAAAAGTAATAGTTCAGGTTTCCTGCCACCTCCAATCTCTGTCCCCACCTCAAAATAAAATCTTTTTTTATATTTGTTTATGAGAATTGAGCATTGCTGGCTATGCTTGCACTTATTGCCCATTCCTAATTACCCTGGGGAAGGTGGTCATGAGATGTCTTGTTGAACAGCTGCAGTCCTTGGGATGTGGGAGGGAATTCTTGGATTTTGACTCAACAACAGTAAAAGAACAGTGATGTACTTCAATGTCAAGATGATGGGTGACTTGGAGGGGAATGTGAGGGTGGCAATGTTCCCATGTACCCGCTGTCCTTGTGACCTTTCCCACTTGAAGAATAAGTTTGGTAAGTGCTATTTAAGGAATCTTGGTGAATTATTGCTGTGCATCTTGTAGATGGTACACACTGCTGCCGCAGTTTATTGATGGTGGGGAGAGTGAGTGTTGAAGGGTGGCTGGGATGCACGTCAAGTGACCTGTTTTGTCCTCGATAGTGTCAAACTTTGAGTGTTGGAGCTGTACCATCTAGCCAGTGGAGAGTATTCTATTACACTTCTGATCTGTGCCTTGTAGATGGTGAACAGACACTGGGGTGTCAGGAGGTGAGTTAATTATCACAGAATTCCTAGCATCTGACCTGCTGTTGTAGCCACAGCATTCATGTGGCTGATCCAGTTCAGTGGTCATCCCCAACATATTCTTTGTGGGGGACTGAGTAATGCTATTGATAGTCAAGGGGAGACAGTTAGATTCTCTCTTGTTGGAGATGGTCATTAATGGTACCGGTGTATCGCAAATATCACCTATCAATTATCAGCCCAAACCTGGGTATTGTCCAAGTCTTGCTGCATATAGAAATGGACTGATTCAGTTTCAGAGGAGGCACAAACAGTTCTGAACATTGCATAATCATCAGTGAACATCTCCACTGCTGAAAGTTTTATTTTGTTCTTTCATGGGCTGTGGGTATTATTGGCAAGCCCAGCCTTTGTTGCCCATCCATAATTGCTCTTGATCTGAATGGCTTACTGGGCCCTTTCAGAGGGCAGTTATGAGTCAACCAATTTCGATGTGGAGACACACTCCGAGCAGACTGGATAAGGATGCATTCACCAAACAACATTAATGAACAGATAGGGTTGACATCCCAATTGTAGTTCTCATGGCCATTGTTACTGAGATTAACTTTCAATTTTGATTTATTTTTAACTAATTGGAATTCAAGTTCCACTGGTTGTCATGTCCCAGCACATTAGGCAGGGTCTCTGGATAACTAGTCTGGTAGAATTTACAACTACGTCACCACCTACCCTTGTGTGATTGATAAAGCTGGTTGGGTCTAAGACACTACCCTAAGGAATGCTTATCCCAAAGCTGAGATAATTGATTACCAATAACAACAGACAGTTTCCTTTGTGTCAAGTATATTCTAAACTCCCCCTCCACCCAGCACCAAACTCTCCCTCCAACGCCATTCTAATGCAGCCTTGATATCAAGGGCTCTCACCTCACTTCAGGAATTCTGCTGTTTTGTCTATGCTTGAACTAAGGCTGTAATGAGGTCGATAGCCAAGTAGTGTTGGTGAAGCCCAAACTGTCAGTGAATGATTTTTACTGAGCAGGTGTGGCTTGATAGCACTGTTGAAGATACCTTCCATCACTTTGCTGATCAAGAGTCGATTGATGGGGCAGTAATTGGCTGGGTTGGATTTGCCTTTGTTTCAAGACACACCTGGGCAATTTTCCCTATTGTGAGTAAATGTCAGTGTTGTAACTGCATTGAAATAATTTGGCTTGGGGCTTGGCTAAGCTATTTATCCATAAACTAACAATGAATAGTTCAGGAAATTCAGAAGAAAACTGTTTTTATTACTAATTTTTTCATGGGTGGATTCCTCATTAAAAGCATGATTACCTCATTTATAAATAAAGAATACATGAAAACAATCTATATAACATGGCTTCCTTTGTGGATGATGAAAATGCATGGTGTTGATTCATTCAGATTAGATAGATTACTTTCAGAAAACAATATCTTGATACAGAATGTGAGTAATTTGATACATGCAGGAAGTGTGGTGTGCCCAGGGGGAACAGATGACATTGAATTCATGATATAAAGATGGAAAGTTCTGGATAAACTCAGCAGGTCTGGCAGGACCTTTGTAAA